TTGCCAATATAAATTTTGATTTTCTGATTAGGTCTCTGATGCATGGATGTTGTGGCATTTTCATAATTTTTAAAAAATTTCACACACCATTAAACCTTGAACGAATGATTTCAAGAAGTGCATTTGTGCAAATGAAGAAGAAAAACATAGACTGACACATGCTTACAAAAAACTGGGGAAGGTGACGGAGATTGGAGTACAAAAAATCACAGATACAAATACAAAATCATAATTCTATTATGGTGACAATGCAATGTTCTTTTATTCCCGCCACATGCATACCAGGGGGTCCGTAATGAAGCAATGACTTTTTTTTGTTTTTTTTTTTTTTTGTCACCCGGTTTTGCAATATACGGTGGGCGGGAGGTTTGGGCAGGAGGTCGTCCCCTCTGCCTCACACCTTCATTCCAAAAAAAAAACTTACGCTGAAGCAGAGGGACGGAACGTCGTCGTTAAGTGATTTTGTTTCATTTTTTTTTGTGGCAGAATGCAATTGCTTGCAACTCTTACGTCTGCAACGACTAGAGGTTTGTATCAATGTGTGCATCTTGCCGATAAGCAAAGACCAGAACAAAAACAACGATGTGAACTACTAGTTTCGATATATATACGATACATGCATGCAAGTATGTATGTGTGTTCTGCCTTTGAGCTGCACTTGTTGTTCTTAATCAGTTGAAATTCAATTTGCATTGCTTTTTCTGCCTGTCTGTGTGTTGCCGTCTTCCTTACCTCTCTGATGGCCTTTCAGTACATTTTTCTGTCGATCATTTGGCCGCGCCACACAAAGACTTGTACATATTTATGTGTTTTTATCCGCTGTCGTTGTGTGATGATGATTTTTCTTTGAAAATATCGCCTTTTACAATATGGCATCTATATGCAGTTGTATGTATGGCTTTCAGTTAAATTATATTAATTCTTTTTTGTCACACCAACATTTGTCTCCGATTTTATTTTTTGATGTTCTTTTGCTTGCACTTGGTGCATTTGTCAGACACAGTGACATATTTGCAAACAAAACAATACCCAGCTAACATTTTTTCCAATTTTTGTCCGAATTCGGAAAAGAACTCTGCACAAGTTGTTTGAAAAGAAATACGCAAAATTGTTGGATGTTTAATGCGAAATTCCGAAAAAAAATGTATTTGTTCTATTGTTTTACCCGAAAATCGAGAAAAATTAGATTAGATTAAAAGATTTGGAATTCGGAAAAATGTCGAATGTTAGATTCGAAATTCTGAACATTTTCAGATGTTTAATCCGAAATTCGTAAAAAAGTCTGTATTTTTTCTATAGTTTTATATGAATATTGGGTTGGACATTGTCCATCCTGCATTACTTTTAAACTGATTATAAACTAGCTATTTTCGGCCGACTTGTAGTCAGTTACTTTTAACTAACTATAAACTTATTACTTATGGACGGTTTTTTATAGACAGTTAAAAATATTTTTTTCTGTAAAAAATGGAAAGATTAAAAAAGTTTGGCGAATTTTATTGTTAATTCATAAATGCATTATTCTACAACCAGTTTGTAGTTAGTTGTGGAATAATGCTTTTAAAACTAACTATTTTACAACCGGTTGAGAAAAGTACCGCAGGGTAATTACCACAAATCTTGAAACAGGAAATATCCAATTTTGGCCCCATTCACAAAAAAATAATACAAACATAAGGACAGATTTCAATTGATTTTGAACAGCAATCCACCTTGTTGATAAGAAAAATGTTATTAGATCTAGTAGAATCAAGATCCACCCCTTTCTCATCCGATAGTATCAATATTCGTTTACTAACCACACCACTGTGCAAAGGTATGAGTGGTGGCAACAAATGTCATTTATCCAAAAAAGAAAATAATGATAATGATTTATTCGCGTTGCAATTGTTGCAACAGCAGATTAACGACACATGTACCTCGTATGAAGGCAATTGTTGTTGGCAATTGTGTTTGTCGTCTTGAACAACAATAACAACACCACACCACACCACGCCACTAGACAAATGCATCGCCATGTGTCACTGTCAAATGACTGCAGCAAGATATAGGGAGAGAGAGAGAGAGCGCACAAGCAACTGTTCACAGTACTTCATCTTGTAATGATGTGAAATTTTTGCCGTGACTGCAACCAGTAGCAGCAAAAACATATTGAAAAAAAAAAAAAACTAAATTTCAGAACATAAAATTGCAGATTTCCATATTAGTTGTGTGTTCCCACGATTTTATTAATTTTTATGCGTAGATTATGAAGAAAATTCTGTGTGAAGTAAATCTTTACATTCATATGAATTTCCTCAATGTTGATGGGAATGTAATTATAACCTCGAGTGAGCCTAGGAATTGAACACAGGTATAACAATAATTACGTACCATAAGTTAAACTTTTTGACATTAAAAAATTAGTAATATAAGATTACTGATCTTTTTATTAAAACATCTTTTTTGGACCATCCATGTTTTGCAATCTCTTGTTTGTTTGGTTTGGCGAAGCGCTTGCTTAAGGTGATCGGCACTTTCGTATTTGTTAGTGCCAACCTTGCTTTCGAAAATACTCCAGACACAGTAGTCCAACGGATTGGTATCCGGAGATTTTGGTGGCCATTGTGCACTGGAAATGAAGCGGGAACATAATTTTGTAACCATTCTTGGGTGGCGCGTGCTGAGTGCGATGGTGCTGAGTCCTGTTGGAATGTCCAAGGTCTGCGGCCAAAATGTTTGCGTGCCCAAGGCCTTAATACACCCTCCATATTTTTTGCGACAATATTCGGCATTTATTCTGATGCCACGGTCGATTAATACGAGCGGAGAGCGTCCATCGGCTGTTATGGCGGCCTACAACATCACCATGGCCGGCGCTTGAGTTCTGGTGGCCAACCGAAGGTGCACATTTTCCGCTGACCTCTTTGGCAAGTAAACACGATCATTTTGTTTGTTTGCAAACTGGTGGACGACAAATGTTTTCTCATCGGAGAAAACCGAATTCGGAAGTTCACCACTTTTCTTTAGCTCTTTTGAGTCTATTTTCTTTCTGTTGCATTGTAAGTTCTTGCACTTTTTGAAAATTCAATGGCTTTACCCCGAGCTCATTTTTTCAATATTTGCCGAATGGAATATTGCGATGTGTTCATCTCACGAGCCATTTTTCGGCCACTGCGACGCAGGTTTCGATCAAGTCACTTCTTTACTTTTTGATCAATTTCTGCTGATGTTGCTGTTTTCTTCCGTGCACTTGCTCGACGTCGGACTACGCTACCAGTATCACGGTAACGAGCGATTTTACGAGACACAAAAGATTTATTCACATTTAAATGATGGAGTGCTCTAACTATAACCACTTGTGGTTTTCAAGCGAAATATAAAGAAATCGCACTATCACGCTTGAATTCCATCACGAATAACTTTTTTTCTGGAAAATTCTCAACAAAATGTTTTTGTACGCTTGTAAACAATATATATTGTGCTGTCGCTGGAATAATTTTAACAGCTGTCGGACGAGTGGCTTAGAAAAGACAGCAGTCTGAAGTTAATTGGAGTTTTTTCATCTCACCCTGCATATGGATTTTATCAAAATATGGATAAATGTTAACTATTTTTCATGTGAAGTTGCCCCTACTACTATAATGAAAACAGAATAACAAATTACATCCGAATGGAATATAACCGCTGTTAAAACGTTAAAAACATGTACTTCAATTTGGAGCACCCCTTTACACCAGAAAGTTTGCTCATAAAGAAAAAATATTAACGACAAATATGGTTCCGCCCAACTCATTATTTTAACAAGGGGATATCGTTCGAAATAAGTAGTTATCCAAAAGTGTCCTTTGTTAAATAGTATTGCGTACTAAAACCAGAGCTTCAAAATGCTACCACGAATTCGAGAAGAAAGTAAAACTGGGGAGCATTCCTGCGAGTAAAAAAAATTAAATCGAGTACCTATACTCTTCTATGCTACTCGAATAAGAGTGCACAGGCTTTGCAAGTGACTCAAGCAAATTCTAATATTGCCGTAAATTCTTTTAGTTTTTGTAATATTGTTGTTATTCCAACCGATGGTTTTGTTGTTTTGTACACGAAATCCACCAGTACTTACAATAAATTCTTGTTTTTTTCTCTTCTTAACTTTTGTGCAAAGAAATATATTAATGTGCAAAATCACCAGACCAATAAATATGGATAGATCGTATAGATCGGCATAAGGTCAAAAACAGTAACTTCGTGAGGCCCATTTTGCCCATATCAAAGTTCAAGTTATTATAATTTTGTGATTTCTTTGAAATTCGTTATCAGTGTCTTGAAGAGGTTACTTCTATAATTGAGTGATAAGAAAAATAAAGGTCGAGAGGGAAAGAAACTTTAATTCCACATCACATAAAAATTACTTAAGGTTAGGATACACATGTAGGAAGAATATGTAAAGCTACACAATTTGTTATCTGGAAGGAGACGCTTTATATTGATGTATTCATTAAATGAGTGTTATTTAAATATAATATCTGTATATTATCAAACATTATACAATATATATTTTATACAGTATAGCATTTTGTTTAAGTTTAAAAATTGTTGGGCGTGCTTAAATCTGCTACAAAAATGTTAATTGTAAAAAAAATTAAAAAATCACTTTACATCTCTTTACTCTTATACGACGTGGAAACTGACCTTTACCAAGAATAAATAACATGTCCTGTGCACTGCGTGGTTGAAATTCATGTAATATTAAATATAAAATGTGGACATAAAAATTCAAGACATTAAAACTTCTATTCTATTCATATATTCAACAAAATATTTTTGTAAATTTAAAAAATATGGATTTTTGGAGCATACTTTCAGGCATAACGGTTTAACATATCAATTACACAAATTGTTACACTAGCTACATTCCAAAATTTTGGCATGGTCTTTGATTAAAGTAAACTCTAATTCATTTCTTTTCTGTTTCTTAACAACTTAACAATTTATTTATTGTGATCTTTTTGTTTGTATCTTTGCAGGAAGTTGGCAGTATTATCGGCAAAAAGGGTGAAATTGTTAATAGATTTAGAGAAGAGGTAAGCTTATTTGGAATTTGTATATTAATCATACGTTTTCTAACTTGGAATGAATTTTTAAATGTATCCACAGTCTGGAGCCAAAATTAATATATCGGATGGTTCATGTCCGGAACGTATTGTCACGGTGTCTGGTACAACCAGTGCAATTTATTCGGCATTTACCTTAATTACAAAGAAATTCGAAGAGGTTAGTACAATGAAGCAAAACATCGAATGTCATCAAGAAAAATTAACAATTTTCTTTTATTCCTCACACCAGTGGTGCTCGCAGTTCAATAATGATGTTAATAAAGGTGGTAAAACACAAATACCAATTCGTTTGATTGTGCCTGCCAGTCAATGTGGATCGTTAATTGGTATGATCATAACGAAACAAAGTCCACACAACTACAACTTGATTCTTAATTAACTTAATTGTTTTTTTTTTTGTTTTTTTTATTTTTTTCTGCAGGCAAAAGTGGTTCGAAAATAAAGGAAATACGCCAGACAACAGGCTGCTCCATTCAGGTGGCCAGTGAAATGTTGCCAAATTCTACTGAACGTGCCGTTACTCTAAGTGGCACAGCCGAACAAATTACCCAGTGCATCTATCAGATTTGTCTTGTTATGCTAGAGGTATGTGTGTGTTTGATTATTCTTCCTTCACAACAACATAAATATATTCATTTTATAATTACAGTCACCTCCAAGAGGTGCCACCATCCCTTATAGGCCAAAACCACAAGTGTCCGGACCCGTCATCTTGGCTAATGGACAAGCTTTTACCATTCAGGGCAATTACGCTGTTCCCGCACAAGAGGTAATTTATCATGTATTTTCTACCATCCTCCTTAACCTGTTTTCCAGTCTGTCAGTCAAAAAATAGTCAAATCTTTTTACCATCATCCACTACCAACCAAGCAAAGAACTACTATTTTGCCCACCACGTTTGCTTTATTTTGTACAAGATGCCTTCAACATTCCTATTTACAACACCTTTTCCATGCTCTACACCTTCCCTTTTTTTCTCGACTAACGTTTGTGTTGCGTATAACGACATTTTAATTTCTGTATTTCCACCTCCCCCTATCCGTACCGCATATACCTCTATAATTTTTTTATGAATGGTATACATTTTCTTTCGTCCTATATTCTTTCACCGCTACTTTAATAGTGCCACAACTCCTTTGTCTCTCGTTGCTCCCCCTTCGAAGGTTTCGTTGCTTATGTGTGATGGAAACAATTTTTATTCTACTCCTTGTTGTTTCTTTTCTCTCGGACCCATTTCTTCTTCCCTCGAAAACCAGTGTTGAGTTGTCTACCTATAGCCCTTCTCGCACAGATCCGTTCATGAGTTTTATCAACTATCACAAAGTGTTCTTTAATGTAGTTATATGCATATTTAATACAAATATATACTTGGGTATATAGAATGTATAATCATGACAAACTTGTTCATGGTAACGAAGAATAGCTTTATGCAAAAGTTTTAGCAACACCATTTTGGTTTTGTTTTCTTTCTTTATGGCACCTTTAAAGAAAATTTGTGTCGGAATTTAAAACAAAAAATATAGAAAAATGGATTCTTGCAGCATATCTAATGAAACGTTGTGATTTATCCTGGGCGCCAGAACAAAAAGAAGTGAAAAAAATAAATAAATACAAATGTTTACATTTAACTTCAGATGAGCACTTCTTAGAGGCGTGTAAAATCTTAGAACTTCTGTTGGCGCTTTGGAAAGCCAAGAAATATTTTTCTAAAAACGCTTTGTGACCATTTGATAGCTCCGTCATACACATACAAACATTATGGAAAATATGTTCCGTACTTAATCAATGACAACGTAGAAACTAATAGCTCCAAGTATAGCTTTCCTCTGTAGCGACCAGATAACCACCAACTCCGTTCCCTATTTAAATAAACAATATTTTTTTATGATATCCAAACTTATATCCTTTTTCTAGACGAAATAACTATTATCTTCGTTTCAATTGTTTTGTTGTTATCGTTGATGTACTGATCATTTTTTGAGTTTATTTATTTTATTTTCTCTGCACTTTTTCTCTTAGGTTAAGTTTTGCAAGATTATAAGAAAACAATATGTATTTTATGATATTAATGGGTAATAATTATCCGATGTATAAGATGACGTGTCAAGGTCTATTCTCTATAAAAACGGCACAGTATTCTGAGTTCCATGATCTGCTGTGAGAGCATATGGCTTGACTCAAAATCAAAAATATGATTAAACACACTGTCTTAAGGCTCCACTACTACTACCATCACTACAATTCAACTACTACTACTACTGACAGCTTCATATGTTGTGGGCTTTAAAATAAAAGTGGCCAACATTTTAAACGCTAGGATGCGAGGGCTCGTGCGCAGTTGCTAAACGTAGGTTTACTAAAAGTTTTACACTTAAAAATATTAAGTTTGTATTAAAAAAAAATAAAATAAAACAAAAATACAAATTAAACCTAAATTTCTCCAACATTTAGCAAATTAAAAAATAATAATCTCTGTGAAACCACTTCCACAACCACCATCCATCCGCCTCCACTTCCAAACAACCAAGTTCAGTATAATAACTAAAATCAGAAATATAATAAAGCGTATGTGAAGACATATTTAATTTTCCCCATTCGTTTTCGTATGTAAGCCCCTTCTCTTTCTTTCTCTCTATCACATTTAAGAAATTAAACAAAAATATCAAACAATCTTACAATTAATGTTTTCGAAGTATGGTACATTTCGTTACAACAAATTTTAGTTTTGTAAATTTCATACTTACCAATACTACTTATTATCAAGAACACCGCCACCACCAATACCACTATTTCTCGTTCATAAAACATAGATTTACAAAAGGCAACAATAATCGGATGTAAACAAAATTATAATTAAATGTCAATAAAAAATAGATAACTGTAGCACGAATTTGGTATTGCGGAAGATTGGTGTCGACTGGAGAATGTGCTTGTGGCAACATTGGTTTTGTCACCTGTACCATGGTGAAGGCCTTTGATCTTTGTCACATCAATTAGCCGAAGTACCATTGTCGGAGGATTTCTTTTATTTTTAGTTTTGAGACATGAATTTCTACTTGTGTATTTGGTTAAAAACATTTTTGTGAAATCAGACTAGTGCTTTCCTCATAGCATAATTGAATCATGCCCTTTACTCTGCAAATTCCACAAAGAAACCAAAAACTAAACTATGCAACCTATTAGTTTTATCAACGTTAATTTTGTGTATATTACTCTAAAATCAAAACGTCTCAGTTCAAATCCCTCTGCCCGAGCCCTCACATCACTCTATATTTTTACTGTATTGAATATTATATAAAACGTTCTATCTCTCTCTCTATTTATGCTCTTATAACCCCTCGCCAATACATAAATAATTTAACCGAAAATCCAAAACACATATCGCATAATCTTTATTAATCATTACAAATGCAACAAAAATCACAATTTCAGAACCATTCCTCTTGAGTGGCAAGAAGCATATGTTTTGAAAGCAAACAAAACCGCCTAAAAATGTGAAATTATTCTTTGCCCAGGGCACGTGTAGTATGTGTCACTTGTGGTGTATCACCTTCGGTTCATTATTTTAGTGGTTAATTTTTATCCTGACCTCTTGTGAGAAACCACCTACCGTCCATCGATATAATTTTACATCCCCATTGTTGTTGACATTTCGTTAAACTCATGGAAAAGAAATTACTACTGTAGTTGCAGTTATTAAATGACACAACTTGATTAAAAACCATGCCAATTAAAAAAACATTTATTTCTCACATAATTAAAAAGAAATGATTAGTTCTCTGTATACAATCTATTGTTGTGTATTTGCAAACATTTTCACAAATTGTTGTTACACAACAATCGTTCAAAACTTTTGAGACCATTTATTAGACATAGTTGTGCACATGAATCAATTTGTGGTTTCAACTGGCAAAAAACAAAATGCTTTAACAAACCATTGTGTTACCCCCATTGTTTTATTTGCTGGAGTTCGTAATTCGAGCTTTTTATTGTAAATTTTATTCTAAAAAATGTTACATATTCAAAGCAAAACTTTTATTTACATGCTATTTTGTTTTATTTGTTTCTTCTACTTTTATTTATTTGTCCAACTTCAATTGAAAACTCTACATATACACATATTACAAAAACAACAACAATGAAAATAATCAATATTTTGTTACTACGACTCAACATTAATATCACCAATGATCAACAAATTGAACTAAAACAAAACAACGAACGACAACAACGTGTATTAAAACACGCACGCACACACACAACTTAAACGGAATTCTAAAATTGTTAATTTGAAAACTATTTAATATCCTGGTCCATTGAAAAACGCTGACGACGAACTTTACATCAACACAAACACTTCCACCACCTACCGTTGCCACTGCTAATACAACACCAACCAAAATCCAACCTACTGTTACTCTTTCTCTATCTATCTTCTACAACACACATTTTAATTGCAAATTCAAAATCAATCTATAAATATATGTACAACTATACACCTCTTTAGACCTGTCCAGTATTTCCACTTGCTTTGGCTACCGGTGGTCTACATGCTGGTATATCGGGTTTAACGGATCCTTTATTAAAGGGCGCACATTTGCAAGGAGCGGTACCAGCACACCATCACCTACAGCAATTGCCCGATGTGAGTTTTGGTTGAAGAAATTGTTTGAACGCATTGAATTGCATTTATTTAATATCCACTCCCCCCTTGTCTTGCCTTCTATATTTCTCTCTTCGTTACAACAATATACAATCCTCTTTACTCCAACAATTGCCCACCTCCACCTCTCATGTCCAGCCTGCGCCCTCGTATCGACCTGAACACTATTTATGTGGTCACTCCACCCCCGCCCAAAACCCTTTGTACATGCATTTTTTCACTGTAATTCCACCTTAAAGTTGTAATGAAAAAAGTTTGAATGTTTGTTGCCCCTTTTGCCCGTTACGCCCTCCCTTCCCTCCGTATACACGTATAAACAAGTTGCTGATGTGGTATTAAAATTGTATACAAAATGTAGTTTGGTTTTAGTATTGTTTACCTTTACCACGACCTCCCTTTCAACAATAAACATTTGTGTGTACTGGGTTGGTATGTAAGCGGCACCAACTGGTCGATGCTTTGGTCCATCATGGCATCAGGAAATTACACATGTTGTTATTGTTTCATTTGATGTTACTTGTTCTTCCTTTTTTGTAATATGTATATACAAGTCTTAGGAAATAGAAATGCAAAAAAGGTTGTGTCCAACGGTTGGTCATAACTTAAGTGTTCTTCGCAAACTTTGTACAAACAAGCAAACAACAGGAGTAGAAACGCATTGTTAGTTTATCTTTAAATAACCCAACATTGTCAGGTGGTCATGGAAAACATCTCATTTGCTAGATGTTTTATTTTAATGAAAACAAAAATGTTTCTTTTTGCAATATTTCCAGATTCAGGTGTAATTTTGTTATTATGTTGAATCGGGTCGCTTTCTTAAACTCTAATAATGATATTAGTATTGTAAGAAAATGGTTTCCATGGTTGCCGTTACTAAGGGCTTAAGTGAATTATAAATGGTGGTCATTTTTGCATTTATATTTCTTTTCAAAATTCATTAAATCTTATCTTCAGAACTTCTTTTACTAAATCACAGCAAACTTTTATATAAATAAATATAAATCAAACTCCTTAGTAAGCTTTTGAATAATTAGAATAATGAACGTAACATAAAGGGAAATATATTTTCTAATACATTTCTTCTTTTAACTGTAAGCGGTAGCTTGATTTCTTTTGGTTCATGGAAGTCAGCTTAGAATTTAACAACACATTTACATAACTTATGAACTAGATCAAAAACGCCTGAAAACAAACTTGTTTCTTTTAGAGAAAAATAGTATACCTGTTAGTATACATATTACCAAATGATGGACTTGTTTAAACCCCCCGGAAACTATCTGACAATATTATAAGATAATCCCATTTGCATTTTGTTTTATAGAATGTTTAGTTGATTGAGTCTCCCTTGCATGTTGCATTTTGATTTGTAGTATCGTATGAAGTAATGAATACACTCACATATGCGTACACTTAGTTCCCCTTCCCGTTCGATAATTTCGATATAGAGTGCTGTAGGTAATTGGTGTAAAAACGTAATCCCCTTTAAGATGGCCCTTGAATAGCTTTCCTTTGTCTGCTCGACCTTCTCTATATTTTTCATATATCTGGTGCTAAAAACTATCTCCCACAGTCCCTTGTCTAGTTGCAGCTGAAGCTATTTCTATCAAAAATCTATCACCCCAATCCACGTCCTTAATTTTGAACTTTGTATGTATCTATATGTATTTGTGTAAATTTTTAAATGTTATATTCGTAATTTTCAAATACCTACGATCGATGTGTTTACGGTAACCCACTATTTTATCCAAAAACTAAAAATACGTAAAAATGACTTCAGCTCTTAAACACTTTCAACAGCACACAACACAAACAGTTTCGAAATATACACAGATTTTTGATTTCATTATAATTTCTTTAACAAATGTTTAATGTTATGTTCTGAAAGTTTGTTTACATTTTGCTTTCTGATTTGTCTTTGTTTCTATGAAGATAGAGTGTTCTTAAATTTGAAGGTAAAACGTGGTTGAAATAATATCGAGAAAATATATTTTTGATTAATTAACGTCCCTTAAAAACAATTGTAGCTTTTAAAAGTCACAAAATAATTTTTACGTAACTTGCATTTTTATTGGTTATGGGAAGCGAGGCTGCCTTAGAAAGCGATCGCTCCCCTCATTGACCATTATGTGCGTTTTATTCATCCTTGGGCTAGAAATGGAAAGGAATTGGGCGTTAACAATGCATTGGGGATAGCGCCCCCAGTAGAGACTTAGCAGTAAATAAAATTGACAGGAAAAGTTTTAGCAAACTGTGTTTTCAAAGCCAATTACATGTTTTTATGAAATATATTTTAGATATATATAACAAATACGATATATTTTTTATAGTGTTTTGTTTATTGGCTGCGGTGGCACATTTAGCCTTCGCATAAATCTCGTTTTATGGTAACAATATTAGGATTTATTAACAGTTCCTCAAATTGTTAACAATATTAATTATATCTAGAAAAGTCCCTTTTGCATTTCGCTCCAGACTAAACGTAATTTTTCTGTAATCTTACATGTTGAACCTATACGTGATCCACAAATATTATGTAAATAAAACATATTTAACTATCCTCCGATAACCGACAATAATATTTTTCGATTTTTATTCATCGAACGTTACATATTTTAATAACTTCACATTTCTGAACACTTCATGCTTTCAAAATGAAAAACGATAGCAAAACTTTATTGTATATGTTTATAAAAAATTGAAATTTGCATTGTTTATATCTCCAACAATCCATTTTCACTGTTTGTTGTTGTCATTTCTGTGTTCAGTTATGATTTTGTTGATTTCAAATCAAAAAACAAATTATTTGATTTGTTGTATTTATTAATTTTTCGTAAAACAATTTTAAAAAATCTAATAATTACAATTGTCCTACCCATTCTTTTCCTCTCCTTTTCTCGTCGACAATAGGTGGCTAAAAACCCCTTGGCTAGTTTGGCAGCTTTAGGTTTGGCTGGTATGGCACCAGCCAATACCGGCGGTCTCAATCCAACAGGTGAGTTCAAGGCGATTACATATCCGAAATAGTAGCATGTCTATAACTTCTTCATGTGTTATTTTTCCAAATGCAGCTTTGGCTGCCTTGGCTGGTTCTCAATTGCGTACAGCAAATACAAATCGTGCTCAGCAGCAGCAACATGAAATGACCGTCTCTAATGATTTGATTGGTTGCATTATTGGGAAGGGTGGCACCAAAATTGCCGAAATCCGTCAAATTTCCGGTGCAATGATACGCATTTCGAATTGTGAAGAACGTGAGGGCGGCAATACCGATCGTACCATCACCATAAGTGGTAATCCCGATTCTGTGGCTCTGGCACAATACTTAATCAATATGAGGTAAGTCCGTTTGGTATTATATTTGTTATTAAATGTTGTTGTGCACTTGTTAATAAGTTGAGAACAGAAAGTGAAAATCAAAATACCGGCATAAGATGTAATTATAAGCTGTAACGTGTGATTTCGAATAGCATGATAAAAAGGCTAAGTTTCTGCTAGAATTCAGGTCAAATGCCAAATTTGTATTAATAAAAAAATTCAGTAAATGGTACCATTGCTAAGAAATTTAATTCTTTTGGTAATAGCATTTATAAAATAACGAGGCGAAAGGAAGAAGAATAACGATTTCAACGAGTAATTCAAATTATGGTAAATTTTTAATCTAAAGCCGTGGCTTTGATACAAATTTCAGCCCAAAAAAAAACCAAACCAAAAGTTTTTCCAAAACTGGTCTAGTCGTCGTAAAAAAAAACTCTTTAAAAAAAAAAAATTATTAATGAGAAAAAATATTGCTGGTTTTTTGATTTTCCACGTTGATCCAACACAGCTATATTTATGTTGTTTGCGTACGTATTATTTTTCAATTATGATAACATTCATATCTATAATCTGTTATCCAAGTTTTATTCCGTTTTTAACCATTTTTTGTACATATTCTTGTTAATTTTTACTTGTGTGCGTACCGAACTAATACGTTTTTATGAATGAGTTTGTAGTAGTATAACATTTTGTCGAATTGATTTGAATCGAAATAAGTGCAAAACAAATGAATACAACATTTGTTTTTTGTCTGAGATCATCTAATGCAGTTGATTTTGGCGATGATCTCTACCATCAAATGTAAATTATTACGACATAAGGAGAGGAGGATCTTTGTTTATTCTTGACCGTCTAAACGTAGCAGATTCTGAATTCTATTTAATTGTAGAAGTAAGCGTTCAATTTAAGAAATGTGTTTTTATGCCACTATGAAAGCACAGCTACTGTGTACATTTTTCTTAAACTACTGTTATATTTGTATATTTTTTTTTTTTTTTTTTTTGATATTCACCTTTGAAGAATCACTTAAAATTCATGTTTACCACCTCTTGACCAACAATATATCCACCCAAAAACCATACGTTATGTAATAGACACACTCTCAATGTGTTCTATACAATTCCATCCAAATACTTCCCTCTTTACCCTTGTTCACCATGCTGCCCCCCGATCATTGTTTTTTTATTTATTGCAAAACAATATAAAAATCTAAAAATTTCAGATCTACGTTACCCCTATGTTCGAAAGGGTTAATTTATACTGTTTGATTGATATATACATAATTGTTGAAAACAAACGTTACAAAACGGCACTGTATTTTTATGATATGGATATGGATATATTAAAATAAATGATTACTTCTATTGGTTAGTTTTAAGTCTTATTTTATAGCTAACTACTTGATAATTTGTAATCAGTATGGAAGGAAGAACATGAAGGAGAAAGGGATTATGAAATCACACAGAATAAGAAAAGCACTGGCCAACACTCTATTTGTCTGGTAATTGGAGATGATGAACGACGTTTTAATCCCTATCAAATCCTCAAAAAAAAAATCTTTTTAGACATTGAACCCCCTCGGTATGACCCGAATTTACAAGAATATCCTGTTTAATTTGATTGCATTGAATGAATTTAAAACGAAGTTAATCAAGTGTTTTATCTTTTATCAAAAAATGACATTAAAAAGAGCAAATGTAGTTCGTGCGTTTTGAAATTTAGTAGCATTGTTTTATATACGTATTGTTTTTTGTTTAACAATTTTATACAGTAAGATCGAGTCTTCTAGGATTAGTTAAGAACACTTTGAGCTCAGGTGTAGGTACTGTTCTAACTAATACTAATAGCAGATAACTTCATAATACACATTTTCTTGACTATAATGACAGTTTTTAAAACGTATTGGAAATATTGAAATACACCACTATTGCTCATGCATCGGTTAGCCGAAGGAAAGAAAATCTTTAAACTGTGATATGTTCTATTTTACGGAAATTTTATTATTTGTTGATTAAACGAAATCCATTTAGAATACACCAAGGTTACACAGAAGGCGAAGCTTTTTCCTGAAAGACATTGTTAATTTACCTTAAAATTAATTGTGTAGCAATTTTTTTTACCTAATTTATGTCAGCGCTTTATAAACATTTAAAAATAGATGACAAAAATTAATTGATTAATCAGGTAGTTCTGATATCTAGAATGCACCCGGTGCAGGCCATCATTGAGGGTCGGTCTCCAACTTTAGGTACAGCTTTACAAAGGAATATTATAAGAATTATACAGTTTTTCTTTTTTGTAAAAAAACAACAAACTTATTTTTAAGAAACGGAATTGTGGAGGTGGTCAACAGAACATGAGCGTGACTTTTCATGAATCTGTATCATATCTAGTCTGCTTATGCCTATTGTTTTCCCCCACTTTATAAGCAAAAGTGTATTCAACAGTTTTTGCATTACTTGTCCTCCCGGGTGTAGGCTTGCGAATCGCAATTGTGTGTCACGAGAAGTAACTTTGTGTAATAGGCTTTCATGTTAGCTATCACTGCCTACTAAAAATTATTGCAATTTTCTTTTTCAGGTGTTGTCAGTTTTTGATTCAACCCAGATTCAATCAGACCAGGCAAACTATTTGCAACGATTTTGCTTCGTATTATCGCAATAATTATTCAGAGTTTAGGGCTCATATTAGTATTTGAGTCGTTTTTAGATAATAAAACATGTTAACTTCGTTTTGATTTTATGTGCATTCAAATTTTGTATTCTATGCTCTCTTGTGAAACTCTACTGTTCCCCAATTTAAAGAGAACGCTTTCCAACAAAATTTTTTGAAATATTCAAAACCAATCCCCTATAATATCCACCAAAATCCATCCCTCCTTAACCATTTGAAAGAATCAAAGAAATTCAAAAAATAATAATAAAAAAACCTCAACTCAATTCCACAAAATCATTTGTCAGTGATAGTGAAAAAAATTAACCATCACTACAAGTAAACCTAATCATCACCATAAACAGCAACAACAATATCCTATTTTTCCTTTTCTCTTTCTCTCTCTCTTTATCCCTTTTATAGCGTCGAATTGCAGATGGCAAATCTCCAAGAGGCAAATAATACTGCTGTCATAACTAATGGTACAACAGCAACGGCTAACGGAGGACAGACAAATAGTAACAGCCAAACAAATAATAGTAACGGCAACAACACCACAGCCACCACCAACACCACAACCACAACAACCAACAACAGCAACACTAATAATACAACAAACACAAACAGTTCGGCAGCATTAGTAGCTACTTTAAGTAACAATACAACAAATAATAGTAACACAAATACAACCACAACAACAGCAACCAATGACACAACAACAACAAGTGTTTTAAATTCAGCCAATCCATTGGCAGCCGCTGCCAGTTCATTGGCCACCGCCATACCATTGGCTCAGCTATTGGCCAAACCGGGAGCTCTTAATGCCCTTACAAGCCTAACGGCTTTAGGCAGTCTGTCCGATTTGTTAGGCGGCCTTGCCACTTTGGGGGGTCCGCCAGTTCAGACAACAGGTGTGAATCGTACCAAAAGTTTTGCTTCATCGCGTTTCCGTAATCACAATGCCGATGGCAGTGCCGAGCCTGAAAAGGCTCGTAATAAATTCAATCCCTATTGAAACGATTGAAACGCCTCGGCAACTTCAAAACAAGACGATGAGTATTAACAATAAAATTGAAAAAATGGGGTTTCTTTTTTTACAAAAGAGCTAAATTCAACCAAAATTTTTCCCATTAAGCTTTAGATTTTTACAAAAATTAAAAAAAAAAACAAGAATAAGCAAACATAAAAATATATTGATTGGTAGTATGATACTTGATCGATTACTCGATTTGTATTATTGGCGAATATTATTTGGCTGTAGTTAAAAAATAGACATTTTATAAACAAATATGAAAAAGTCTTGCCCACGACTATTGAAAAGGGCAATAATAAGCTAAAAAAAGAAGCAAATACGTATAATTTACAGTTTTACACTAAGTACTGACATTTTCTCCTCTTTACACTGAAACACAAAATCCATCTACTCCTTTTTTCCTCACACTTTCATCACTCACTCACTGTCTCTATTATAATATATAAACATTTCCTTCACAAATTGTACCAACTAGTTGTAAGATATAAATTATTTTCACAAGCAAGACAAAAATAGATATAAAAATAAAATCTACAAGTGTATCCGACGACCCATTTACAACACATTCGGGACTTGTCAAGCGCATCTTTGGCAGTATGTTAATATTCAATTCCAATTTTTTAGATATTTATTTTTATTATTTTTTAAGTTAATCGAAAATTCATTCCAAAATAGCAACGCTTGAATGAACACAAGCAGAATTTGTAAGGTGTAGTCCTAAATGGTCATTAAAGCCTTGTGAAAATATCTTTGTCTTGAAACTGGTTGTACATCATGTTTTGGTGTTTTAACACTTCCCATTTATGTGTTTCATTTCTGTTCTCTTTCTCTTCTATTCTACTAATATTATTACTGTAATTATTAACCATAAGTCTAAAGTACACCAAATGTTTTAGTAAAATAGTTGTTTGACAAAGAAACAAAAACTTTTTCTATGTAAATGAATGGTTTAGGAAGGGAAATGTTATATACATATAAGATGCAATGTAAGGGAATGACTGCACACCATGTACTGTTTCTATGTAAATCATTAGGTAAGTTGTTCTCTAACAACGTATGTATGTATTTTCACTTAAACTATTCATTTAGTTAAGCTTTAAACTCTCTTTTACATTTTTATTAATAATTAAGGAAAGTAAAAAATCATCTAATATTCAAATAAATAAAAAATATGTTAAAGAAAACATAAAGCATACACACAGTACATATTATACTATATATTTATTATACACTTCGTATCCTTCTAGGAGAAATACAGAAAACTCTTGTTTTCATAATATAATACATCTGAAATTTTAAGAAAGGGATTTGTTTTTAATTTAATTTATTTTTTTTT